ACTTAAGTCTTTATATAATCCCATTTCTAATACTTAAGTCTTTTATATAAAATGATATGCTATTAGCCTGGCGTTGGTGATTCACACCTTTAATATCAGCACTCGGGAGAGCAGAGGCAGGCAGATCTCTGTGAGTTCGAGGCCAGCCTGGACTACAGAGGGAGTTCCAGGACAGGCTCTAAAACAATACAGAGAAACCCTGTCTCGAAAAATAAATAAATAAATAAATAAATAAATAAATATGGGATTTGCTGTTTTACATAGAACCCATGTATAGTCTCCATGTACTTTTTTTGAAGCATGGTCTCATGTAGCCCAGGCTAGCCTTGAACTCACTGTGTAGCTGAAGATGATCCTGAACTCTCCTGATCCTCCTGCCTCCACCTCCCAAGTGCGGGGATTACAGGGTTGGACCACCACATCTGATTTACAGGGTCTGAGGCTGGAACTCAGAGCTAAATGCATGCTAGACAACAGCCTATCAACTAAGACACAATTTGTGGCCCCTGGAGGTCCTAGGGTATTCTCTGCCTTCCTCTGCCTGTCTGGCCATCCGTGGTGTCCTTTGGGAGATGGCCACCAACTGTCTCTGTTTTGATGGCCACATGGGGTTCTCCTCGACAAGCACTCTCCTCATGGGGTTGGTCTGTCTGTGTCTCGCCTTATAAGAAAGTCATAGCTAGGCACATGCCTTTAATCCCACTCGGGAGGCAAAGATGGGGGATCTCTTCGAGTTCAAGGCCAGCCTGGTCTACAGAGCAAGTTTCAGGGCAGACTCCAAAGCTACAGAGAAACCCTGTCAAAACAAAACAAAAAGAAGAAAGAAAAAAGAAAAGAAAAAAGAAGTCAGTCTTGTTGGATTGTGAGTCTGCCCACCCACAGGATGACAGGAGAATTGAACTTGGAGACCTGTGCACGCCAGGAACGTGTCCTATCACTGACTTACAGTCCCCACCTATGGTTTAAGTCTAGAATGCCCCTCACAGGCTCACATTTTGAGTTTTGAATGCTCCATCTCCAGATGAAGGACGTGGAACTTTAGGGAGTCGGGGCCAGACTGATGGAAGTGGTTCTAAGGGCAAGTCATTGAAGGCTATGCCCACTCTGGTTGCCACGGCTCTCTCTGCTTCCTGGCTCTTGGAGACATGAAGAATCTTCACCCTTGCTTTATCTTTCTGAAACCTGGAGCCAAAATGCTCCTTTCCCTGCTAAGATGTTTCTGTCATACAGGTTTTCAGCATGACATGGAAAGTTAATATTGGGGGAGGGGGCATAAAGGGGCAGGAGAGATGGCTCAGCAGTTAATAACACTGGCTGACCTTGCAGAGGAACCTGGGTTCAATTCTCAGCACCCATGTGGGGCCCACGGGCATCTGTTACCCCAGTTCAGACTGGTAACTGGTGTGAGTGAGGCTAACACCAAGCACAGTCTTAAGGGAACACCTGGAGGGGCAGCAGGGCTGGTCCTCTCTGAGAGTGGAGTACAGCTAGGCCAATCTCCCCAGGCCCACAGGGGACAGGCTCCCTTACAGGGGACTGCCGGTAGTACCCAGCCAAAGCCCCAGACACAGCAAGCAAGCCACAGGCTCAAGATCCAGGGTCTCACAGGCCCAAATCTAGGCGCCTCCTGCAATAGGACCTTTGTCAGCGCTCCCTAGTGCAGGCTCCTTTTCACAGAGGACATGAGTGGCTCAGCCCTATGGGCCACCTTCAGGGACAGCCAATTCCTTCATCGTGGTGACACCCATGGAGCCTAGCTCCTCCTGAGGCTTGCCACTCTCCAGGAACCATTGAGAGTTCCTCACACTTGGTCTTCAATCTGCCAAAAAATAGTAAATATTTTAGGCTCTGCCAGCCATCTGTTTCTGTCACCATCACTCTGCCTTGTCGTTTACATGTTGTTTGTCACTACTCTTGAGACCATCTGGGCTGCAAAGCCCAAGTTTGCTGTCTGGCTCTTCACAGCGGCAGTCTGCCAACACATTGCCATCCTCCAAGCACGTTTGCTCTTCCCAGCGCTGAGGCTCGAACCCAGGGCCTTGAGCATGCCAGGCAAGTGCCCCAACACTGAGTCTCAGCCACAGCTCAAGGACATCTTTCAAACCTATAAGTAACCAACCCTCTACACACACACACACACACACACACACACCCCACACTTTTTAGGGGCCGCAGGTTGCTTTCCTTCCATGGCAGCTTCCCCGGTAAGTCCAAACCCTGTGTGACCCACAGCCAAGTCCAGCCCTTGGTGTCTATGCTCTGGCAGGCAAGGAAACAAGAGTGGCAAGTTGTACACAGGTTCTTCAATGGACATGCATCCCCCCACACTGGCATGCAGGGTGGTCTCCCAGGTCCCTGTGACTGGGTCCTCTGCTTATAAGGCTGTACCTCTGAGCAGCTGTGCACCAAGAACTGGTGAAATCATCCCTCCCCCGTAATTACAGTTTACAGTGGTTTACTGGGGGTAAAGAATTTCTGTCTTGCCCGAGGCCATTATAGATGCAGCTGGGCTGGGGGAGGTGGGGGAGGCAGGTGGCAAAATCCAGGAAGCAGTTCCTACCCAGAGTGGGGACCAGTTTTTCTGGTTCCTGGGCTCTGTCAGATGCTCAGATTTGCCTTTCTTAGGTGGTAGCCCTACAGGGATTTGCAGGTGGCATGGGGCTCCCTTGGGGTCCTTGGAGAAACCAGTCCCTCTTTCTCTAATAGAGAGGAATTAGAAGCTTTGCACCCGTCCTCTTGGACTTCTGCCAGAGTTGTCTTAATGCTACTGTCACCAGCGCCTTCCCCTGACCCGGAAGGGCCTCTCATACCAATAATGGGAGTTTCCATCGTGGTTCTATTTTCATTTTTCACAAAACACCCCAAATGCAAACATCACCTCCCCATGTGCTTTCAGATGCATTGGCAGAGACTGGAGAATGAAGCTATGGTTATTATTTTCAAGTTTCCAAATTTGAAAAGGTGCCGGTGTGTGATATTGTTGGGGCCCACCAGCCAAGCCTTCTGGGAGTGCACCTAGTGTGGAATGCAGGCAGGATTGTCCAAGGTACTATAGCTGCCCCCAGACAGAAGCCCCAGGGAGACGCTTGCTTAGCCAGGACAGGAGGCAATGGCGCTGTGTGTCAGGGTGAGGGAAACAGACCAGCAGTCCATTGAACATGGGAGAGAAGCTGAGGCAGGAATGGGGGCACAGGCAGTCTGGGGTCCTCACTACCCAGGGAACTGAAGCAAGAGGGTCGTGGAAGTTCAGGGACTAGTCATTACCTCAGTCGTGCATAGTGTCACATGCTTCTGTGCCCAGCATTTGGGAGGCTGAGCAGGAAGATTGGTGCAAGTTCCAAGCCAGTCTGGGCTATGTAGAGCTCCTGTCTAAAAACAGAAACAGGCTAGGAGTGTAGCTCAGGCATCGGTGCTTAGCCATGCTCCTGGTTGGTAGTAAAGTTCTCAGAGTCTAATGGGCCTTCTAGAGGAGTCAGCAAGAGCCATCCCCTCTTCCAGCTGTGAGCAAAGCTGGTTTCACACTCACTACACCGTGGTAACCAGAACAGATTAGAGTGGCCTGGGCTGAGGTGTAATACAATTGGCAGGATGCCTGCCTGGAGTGCAGAACGACCAGGGTTTGATCATCACCACTACACAAACCAGGTGTGCTGGTGTGTTTCAGGTTGCTCTTCTCAGACACCCCTTGGGGGAGAGGGGGAGAAGACGCAGCACCAACGACTCAGGCCCTGGGAGTCAGTGAGTAGCAGAGCACGCTGCAGACTCCTTTATTCAGGAAGTCAGACCTGCCTTTATACCTGCTTCCAAGGTCCTATCGGCTCAGGAGGCTGACTCTGCTGTCTTGTCCTTTCCTCATTGGTGTCTCTGGTCAGGCATCTCTTTGTCAGCAGTCTCTGGGCATAGAAGCAGGCTTGGCTCAGGGAAGAAATGTCTGCCACTCATGTTCATGCTGGGCTGGCTTGGGCACATGGCAGGGCGACTGTGGCTTGGGTAGGCTGGCTGGCAGTTTCTCCTACAGTGGTGCACACCTGTAATGTCAGGGGAAGGAGAGGTAGAAGGATCAGGAGTTCGAGGCCTGTGGCAGCTTGAGGCTAGCCTGGACTACATGAGGTCCTATCTTGTTGAGCAAGCAAACAAACAAACAAACAAATAAATGGGTTTTGGTCCATCTGTTCTGTATATAATGGGACAGAGACACTTCCTCTCCAGAAGATAATTAAAAGAAATCAAATCACTGCCTGCCTCCTCTTCAGAGAGTCAGGGCAAATGTACTGAGGGTTTGGATGGGACCCTAAGAGTAGATAAGAGATGGGGGAGGGGCTTTGTCCTTTCATTTCTTGTTTTGTTTTGAGACAGGGTCTTACTATGCAGTCATGGTTGGCCTGAAACCCAGTATGTGGACCAGGCTGGCCCTGAACTCACAGAGACCTACCTGCCTCTGCCTCCTGAGTCCAGGCAGCTTGCTCTTTGAACTGGATTTCAGGAGGCTCTTGTATGCATTCCCTGCCCTTAACTCTGCAACTCCAGGGAACTGCAAAGCCCTCTACCTGCTCTGCCTTGGTCACCTGGTCACCAGCATGGACCCAGTGGTCTTTCCTCCCGCCCTGTTCACTTCCCCCCTCCCACCCCCAGAGTCAGGCCTGGTGTCTCTGGTCCCTGTCACCTCCCCTCAGGTCTGCCTCCCTGAGCTGGTCCCCTTCTGCCTGCAAAATTCTCACAAAGCACACTGGTTTTCTGATCCGTGGGACTTCTAGCTCACTCTTCATGGGACAACTCCAGAGTCCCTCCTGTAACCCATGGAGCATGGCAGCTTAGCCAGCTACAGCAGGGGAGGGGGAGGAGAAGGGCCCGGGACCACAGAACTGCAGCTGTTTCAAAATAAAGTGGTTGGCACTGCTGACATTTATCGCATTTGCTCAAAGGGCTAACCCTCAGTTGTGTGGACACTTTCACACCGCTGCACAGTGAGGAGGTCAGCCACATCTCCAAAGTCAGAGAATATCTGTGGGAGGAAACTCAGCTGGAGTGACGGGTGGTGTGGACAGCTGCTGTACAGCATGGGAGGGGTGTAAGCTGAATGGAACAGAGGACGTGTGTGTGTGTGTGTGTGTGTGTGTGTGTGTGTGTGTGTGTCTACACCCATGTCCCTCCCCGTGCCTACACCTTGATTCTGCTTGATCAGGTAGGTTCTGTGACCCCCACCTCCAGCCCACCATCCTAAAAAGAAAAGCCAAGCTTCCGTGACTCCCTTTTTTGTGGCACTGCGCTGAGAGGCCCCAGGGGCAGCATCAACGGGGAAATAAAAGAATGTGTATTTATTTTTATTACATTCTATTCCATGTTGTTCTATTGTATCTTATTTGCCTAGAGACATGGTTTCATGTCTGAAACCCAGACTGGCCTTGAACTTACTATACAGATGAAGGTGGGTTTGAACTTGTGTTCTTCCTGCCTCTGCCCCTCGCCCCCCCCCAGTTCTAGAATTACAACCGCACTTGGTTTAACATCTCTATTTTATTATTATTTTATGTGCACATTTTGCCTACATGTATGACTGTGTGCCATATGCATGCAGTGTCTGAGAAGAGCAGAAAAGAATGACAGCTCCCCTGGAACTACAGTTAAGACTGTTTTTTAGCTGCCCAAATGGATGCTGGGATTTGAACCTGCGTCTTCTTAGCCGATGAGCTGTCTCTCCAGCTCTTAGCATCTGTATTTTTTTTGAAGATTTATTTATTTATTATGAATAGTGTTCTGTCTGCATATATGCCTCCATGCCAGAAGAGGGCACCAGATCTCATTACAGATGGTTGTGAGCCACCATGTGGTAGCTGAGGATTGAACTCAGGACCTCTGGAAGAGCAGGCAGTGCTCCTAACCTCTGAGCCATCTCTCCAGCCCCAGCATCTGTATTTTTTTATTAATTTATTTTTACATTCCAATCCCAGTTCCCTCTCCCTCCTCTCCTTCTGCTCCCCACACTCCCCCTCCTCCCATCTGCTCCTCTGAGAGGGTGAGGCCTCCCCTAGGAAGTCTACTCAGTCTGTCCATCATCTAGCTGCGGCAGGACCAAGGCGCCTCTCCACCCCCCACACCCCTGTGTCTAGGCTGGGCAAGGCATCTCTCCATAGAGAATGGGATCCACTAAGTCAGGTTGTGCCTTAGAGTTAGATCTTGGGCCCACTGCCAGTGACCTCATATATTGCCCCAGCCACACCATTGTCACCTATATTAAGGGAGTCTAGCTTGGTTTTATTAGCTTCTGTATTTTAAGAGCAAAGTCTGGCTAAAAGATTGCTCAGAAAAGGGAATTACTTACCGCTTGGAGCCTAGTTTTCTCAGAGCCTTGGGTTTGCTCCCTGGCATCAAAAGGAGGGAGGCAGATGGAGGAAAGAGGTAGCAAACCCAAAGCGCACAGTCCTCCTAGACTAGGCTAACCTGTAACGCAGGGAGACCGAAAGGCCAGCCTGGGCTACACTGTGAGACCCTGTCTCAAAAGGCCAAAGGCTTGGTTATAGTTAGTGGTAGAGCATTTGCCTAGTTGGTTCAAGCTTGTGGGTTTGATGCTCAGCACAACAAAAATAAATAATGAATGAAGGTGCTCACCCATTTTTCACACATGTAACTTCCCTCTAGGACAAGGCTTCTCCAGCTCAGCACTGTAAACACCTGAGGCAGACCATGAATGACCTGTTGGCAAACAGCATCTCGAGCACACTATGAGCTGTTTAGTGGGATCCCTGACCGGTACTCGCCAGCCTACAGCACCCTCCTACTCGCACTTTAACACCCAGATGTGTCCCTAGCATTGCCATTCTGGAACCGGGGAGACTGTTCCCACAAACCACTGCACTAGGTGGATATGGCAGCCTCCCCAGCTCCTGAGGCAAAGGGGTCTGGAGTCAGGGAGAAGCTCGTGACAGCCTCCGCAGTCGTTCTTTGATTTCTGTCCCACATACAGGAGTGACCTACAACACAGAAACATGGAAATCGCTCTGCACGTGAATGCATACAAGCGTGACTAAACACAGGCCATCCTAGGAGCTTCACGGAGGGAAACTCACAGGCATGTGAGAACATGGCTACTGCTGATGTTCCAAAGATCGGAAAATGGGCAGGGGGCCTGAGCCACATACCAGACCAGCTTGCAGTGAGGAGTTACACCTGCCCCGGGGCTACTGAACCGGCCTCCTAGCTGCCCTGGCACTCTGTATAAAGAATATGAATACCACAAAGCCATGTATCCTACAGGACAGCTCAGTGGCTGCACCAACTTCTCTGAGTTACAACGAAAAGAGCAATTGCCTCTGCACAGACCATTTGACCCCCTCACGGGTTCTAAGAACAAGAACCCAAAGAGAAGAAGGCAGAGTCAGCCCAATGGCACTTTTATAACGTCACCTTGGAAGCACAACTTGCTCATTCTAATTTTCTCTGCTGATGAAGGAGGTAAAAAAATGTCCTCCACAAGCAGGGTGTGGTGGTGCACACCTTTGACCCCAGCACTAGGGAGGCAGAGGCAGGTGGGTCTCTGAGTTCGAAGTTTGGACCCTAAAGGCAACATCGAAGGCGTAGTCATGAGCGTGTGTTGCCACTGGGATGTAGTAATTAAGAGTTCAGCCTAGTGGGTGAAAATGAGGTCATTACGGATGGTCCCTGATGGGTATATTGGGACCCTGGACCCTTCCTGCCTCTGTCTTTTACTTCCTCTGCCACAAGTTCACTGCCATGGTGCAGAGGCCTCACAGACACAGACCACTGACATGGGCTGGACACTGAAACCATGAACAAAACAAAGCTGACTCCTTCAAGTTGATAGCCTCAAGTGTTTAGCCACAGCAACAGAAAGCTGACAGGCACATTGGTAGCTAACATCACTCACCGATTCTTGGAACCTCACTGCTCAGAGCCAGACGTCTTTCTGCCTAGCCAGGGCCAGGAGGGTGAAGTTATAGAGATTTTAACTGGAACAATCCTAGGAGAGAATTCTGATGGGCGCATCTTAAATCACATAGAGAAAAAAATGCAGAGCAGTAGTGGTGTACCTCTTTAATCCCAGCCTAGAAGCAGAGGTAGGCAGATCTCTGTGAGTTCGAGACCAGCCTGGTCTACAAAGAGAGTTCCAGGACAGTCAGAGCTGTTACACAGAGAAACCCTGTCTCGAAAAATAAAAACAAAAACAAAACAAAACAGAAGAGGGGGCTTATTTTGACTTATGGTTCCAGAGGTCAGAGGCCATGACGGTGGAACAGAGGCATGACAATAAACCCCAGGCTTAATGGCAGAAACAAGAAGCTGAGAGCTTTCGTCTTGGACCACAAGCACCAAGCAGAGGAGATTAACCCGAAGCTGCACAGAGTCTTCAGGTTCTCAAAGCTCACCTGCTGTGACACACCTCTTCCAACAAGCCTTCACTTTTAAAACATCCCCCAATAGCTCCACCTACTGGGGATCAAGTATTCAAACATCTGAGCCTATGAGGAACATTCTCATTCAAACCACCACACTAGTCCAGACTGGCCTCAGACTCACTAAGTAGCTGAGGCTGGCCTTGAACTCCTGATCCACTTACTGGAATTTCTAAGTGCTGAGATTACAGGTCTTTGCCACTACGGATAAGAATGTGCTCTTTAAGACACATTTTCATGATGACTCTCTACACTCTGTGTGCGATTGCTCTCCCTGGACTGTGGAGATGGTTCAGTCACTAAAGTACCTGCTAGGCAAGTACAAGGTCCCTAGTTCAAATCCCCAGAACTCACATTAAAAGCTGGATATGCAGTGCATATCTGCAATCTCACAGCTTCAAAAAGGAAACAGAAAACATACCAGCCAGCTGGGCTGGGAGAATAATGGAGCTTCCTGGTCAGTGACAGATTTTTGCCTCAAAAAAAAAAAAAAAAAAAAAAAAAAAAAAAAAAAAAAAAAACAAAAAACAAAAAACAAAAAACAAAAAACAAAAAACAAAAAAACCCTCAGACCTCCACTCACGCCCAGGAGCACTCGTCCACATTAGCAAGTGCATCCCCTCCCTCACAATGATTTGTTTTTTAATTGAGAAGAAAAGTTTGCTATCAATCCTTCCCATCCTCACCAAAAACAACAGTCTTCCTTGTTTTCACTGTCTGTGTGTTCACCGGCTGCTATCCAGGCAACACTGTGAGATCCAGACAAGGAATCATTTTTCTTATATTAAAGAAAGTGCTGGCAAGATGGCTCAGTCTGCAGAGGCACTTGCCACCAAGTCTGAAGGTGATTTAATCCTCTGGGTCACTTGGTAGAGGAGAAAGTTTCTGTAAGTTGGCCTCTGACTTCCACAAGGGCACAGTGTCACACATATGCATGCATATGTTTGCTTTCGGGCACCCACACACATACACACATACACACATACATGCATGCACACACACACACACATACACACATATAAATGTAATTTTAAAACGCTTTTTCAAGACAGGGTTTCTCTGTGTAATAGTCCTGGCTGTCCTGGAACTCATCCTATAGACCAAGGTAGCCTTGAACTCACTGAGATCCACCTGCCTCTGCCTCCCAAGTGCTGGGATTAAAGGTGTGCACCACCACTGCCCCATAAATGTAATTTTAAAAATTTAGATTTTATTCATTTTATTTTATGTGTATAAATATTATGCTCTCATGTATGCTTGTTTACCGATTAAAGGGGTGAGCCACCATGGCCCAGGAAACTCCTTCTTCTTTAAGCTTGCCTTTGCTCATGGAATTTTATCACAGCAACAGAAAAGGTACCAGGAGTGGGGTGTCTATGTAAAGAACAGGAGTGGGGCATTGCTGTAAAGAAACTAATCACGTTAGCTTTTGGAAGAGTAAGAGAGACTTTAGAAAATGGTGGTAGTGCAAGCTTTTAATCCCAGAACTGGGGAAGGAGAAGCAGGCAGGTCTGTGAGTTCAAGGCTAGCCTGGTCTACAGAGTGAGTTCCAGGACAGCCAGGGCTACACAGAGAGAGAGAGAGAGAGAGAGAGAGAGAGATTTTGGAACTTGAACTAGAAAAGTAGTTGGACACTGTAAATAGAGATGAAAAGGTCGTTCTAGTAGGATCCTGGTAGACAGTAGTGCTTAGAGCCAGGTGGAATGGACAGGCCCAGCTCAAGAGGTTTCAGAGGGGGGGATATTAGCAACTGAGCTAGAGGCCATTTATGTGATGTTTTGTCAAAGAATCTGACGGCCTTCTGCCCATGACCTGAGAACCTGCCTGTAGCTAAGTTAAAAAATGTTACAAACTTAATGTCA